TTAAAAACAAAATAAAAGAAAATGATCCAAGATTTAAAAAGTTATCACAAGAGTGACCCAATAAGTGGACCATAATTGTGGGTTACAAGATCCTCACTGTGCTGTTGGACATGCTAAAAAAAGCTTTTAGTCAGTCGGAAGTTCTTGACATGTAAAACTGGTATTTGAACAGCTTTTTTATGGGTCACTTTAAAAAGTAAAAACACTTATAAGTGATTTTAAAAATAAAATGAAAAAACTTGCTATGGAGATGAATACTAGTATTTGTTTTGGAAGTTCCAACTTCCAACCAAAAGCACCTTATAACCACATTGCCAAAAGGTTATGTTTCTCTTAAGTACTGCTTGTAGTACAACTATAGAAGCGGTACTTTTCATCAGTATCACTTCTTCTTAAGTCCTTATATCTGCTTCTCACAAAAAATGAAACAGGCCCTTATGGATTAGCCAAATTAGCATGCTGAGTTTAAAAATCCAATTATAAAAGGGAGTATTTCATTTGTTAGGCGTGACATGCATTTCAACTGAGAATGAGCAAGCCAAGCCAGGAAACTGCATATATTCTGCAGAGAAGCAGAAGAATCCAGAAACTGGCTGCCAAAAGGAGCTCAAATTAGCCAGTCAGGCAGGAGTAAATTATTCTCACGTAGAGTTACCTATAGCTTGACGGTCAGTCTGAGCCTCTAGCCAATGCTGCTCAAACTGAATATTATATAAAGCTTCCTCTAGCTTGCCAATATGTTCAAACAAAGGCTTGAAATGTTCTGCACGTGTGATACCAACCAATCAGAGAGAAGAAGGCTAACTAATACAGATCTTGAAGCATTCTTTTTAGTTACTCACCATCTTTTGCATGTTCATCATGGAACATAAAATGACCAGAATGTACATCGAAGTCTATGGTTCCATGGTATGGGGACTTATTAGTAAAACAAAAACGGTGAACTCCTTCCTGATGAGCCACAAACTCTGCTTTTTCGCTTATTTTGTCACGAAAGTCGTGGATTTGCTCCCCTGTTGGTCCCTTCACCTGTTACATTCACCAAATGATTTTAAAAACACACAAATTCCTATCATCAATATATATATATACATGTAACTTGCATACACATGAGTGTAGAAGAATAATGTCCACCTAGTACAGGAGTCAGGAGGAGCTCAAGTTTTGAACTTTATGCCTATTTTCATTGTGAACAACCAACCTTAAGGGTATGTTTGGGAGTTATGGGGGAAAGGATGAGAAAGGTTTGAAGGTAAATGTTGGAGGGTAAAGGGAGCGGGACGTGAGGAAACTCTTCTTCTTATTTGGGAGTAGTAAATTTGGAAAAACAGTCTTAGAAGAAATTATAATTAAAATCACTTCTGAGATATGGTGAATTCAAATAGCTAAACTGATATTCATTTTAAATTTAGCTTAAATTTTCATTTAGTTAGTTATCCTTCAAAAATTCCTATTTTGGAGGAACTTAAAAATTGAGCATTTGAGGGGTTTTGAAGGGTCACAAAAACCTTCCAAAACCATTTCTCCACATTTTCAAACTCTCAAACACAAGTAGTAGGATCAACAACCCTCGCATGCCTTCCCCTCCCTCTCAAAAATCAACTCCCAAACACACCCTAGGGTAATTTAGTTCAAGTATTAAATCTCGCATTACCAAAGGTTTGGTAATGTGTGAGAATGAGAAGGCAAGATACCTTGTGTGGTTAGGTTTCCTAATTACGAGGGTAATCTAAAGTTGCCTCCATGTTGGGGCAACGCACTTACCCTACCTTAGGTTTAGGAATTGTAAATGCAACTATGCCCCTAGCAATTTAAGGCAAACAATTAAACCTACATTCGGCGAACCCAACAACTTAAGGTAATCTAGATGGCCTTCCACAAGATGATGATATTATTGCCTAGGTAATGTAATGTTTCCTTAAATACAAATTACATGTCACAATTACCCAAGTGGCTCACTAAATTGTCCGTGCTTCTTTGTTATGAAGCAGTAGTCAATCCCTAGACTTTCACTATGGGTCATCCGAAAACAATATCTTTGTACTTGAGTTCGGGGTCGATATTGCGTACATCCGACCTCCCTTACCCCATCTTAGATGGGAGCCTTTGAGGCACTAGAGTAAGGGGTAATGATGATGATGATTACCCAGAGGAAAGAAAACAAATGACATGTTGATTCTCTTAGCAGTAGCTAAGAGTAATTGATTTCCAAACAGCAGGTGAATTAATTGATTACACAGAGAATATGAATGAGTCCATTTAAATTTCACAGTTGAAAACAATAGGGAGAAAAACAAATATTTACCACAAGATCAACGCCATCTTCAGCGTAATTCCAGGACTTCTCAGACTTAATCACAACAAAAGAAAAATGAACGGTGTCCCCCAATGCCACCTTATGCGAAAAGCATTCCTCTCTATCTATCACAAACCTGATCCCATAGGCCCCTCCGGCGCTCCACATCAGCACCGCCGCCGTCAGTGCGATCCAGCCTCCCACCTGCAATAATTATCAAGAATTCGTTTAGTTTTCTTCTTTTCTTTTGTAACGTATCCCCACTGACGATGAAAACGAAAGAGATAAGAGGAGATGGGTTTCTACCATCTCTGGGAAAAATTGATGATCTTGGGACAACAAAAGAGCGATGGGAACAGAAAGATATGGTCAAGTTAAAGGGCGTGAGCAGCTCAACTGGAGATCGAAACCTTAAGTCCTGGTCCTTCGCTGTTCTTGTCTGGACATGCCAGGCGTGTCTTCGGATGTGTTGGGCCAATGTATAGTGAAAGTCTTATGGAAATGCAAGAGTAATGTGTTTGAGGAAATGTAGGAGTGATGTTAAAAATCTAATATAAAATTTTTTTCAAAAAATAAAATTTAATGAACCATTCATTTTTAAGAATGGACCTTGCACACTAATCTTACACACTTAGGTCTTAACACAAATAGTAAACTATATACTCTGTAATACCACTTACAAGGTTAAAAATCTTAACTCTAAGGGTATGTTTGGTTTGCGGTTATCTCACATTGAGACCGGAATGTGATGCCTGAAATGTTAGATACTCATGTTTGGTTCATGGTTTTAATAAAATATCGGGAAAGTTACATTCTCGGGAATGTAATATGGAGGGGAATGTTATACCCTTCCATGCCTTAGGTTATCTGACATTCTCGGGGATGATCTAATTTTCTTCCGAAAATACCCTCAATTAATTATCGCTTTTCACTTAATTTCTCTATGTATTCAACTTTTATCAAATTTGAATTTTTGTGATTTTATAAAACTTTTAATGTAGTTTCTAAATGTGTAACTTTTATTTACTAAAAATAATCTTATTATTATTGACAAGGATCAGTTAATTTTAGGGGGTTTCCTTAAACATTACTCCCTTCGTTCCTAAAAATTCTTCCCGGTTTGACTTGGCACGCTTATTAAGAAAGTGGAATAAAGTGGAAATGTATGGTTGTGGTTGTGTAAGAAAAAGGTAAAATGAATGTGAGTCACACAAATTGTCCAAAATGGGAAAGTGAGAAGTATTTTTGGGAACAGCCCAAAAAGGAAAGTGGGAAGTATTTTTGGGAACAGAGGGAGTACTAAAATATAAGTTATAGATAAAAATATAACTACGGTTAATATGCATAGTCACTATGATGTAAAGTTGAACACTATCATGGTCAATAAAGTTACTATTATAGTCACTAAGTCATATTTGTGTCCATTACCTTCGTTTCAGTTATATATTTGTCATTATTTCTTAATTTTATAGTCAATCGAATATCGAGATTGTGTGACAACCTTTTAAGTGGGACGAATGGAGTATGTTTATTTAATTATATTCGAATGTCTATTCTTGTTATTTTCATAATTCTTTTTTCCTTAACATTTAAATTTTTTAAGGTATTTATGCGTATAGATTAATTATGTTTTTAATGAGTGGATTTCAAAATTTAATGGTAAAATTGATCATTTTTTCTTTAATTTGAAAACAAGTTTTACGAATAACTTGAACATTTTTTAATTTTTTTTTTTGAAGTGATAATAAATACTCAATTTCCCTCTGTCCCTTAAAACTTTGTCATCTTTCCTTTTTGGGACGTCCCAAAAAACTTTGTCACTTTCCCTTTTAATCAATTATTTTATGGTTTCTGTTATTTCTCTCTCCTCTGCACAAACCTCAATCACACGGATTTTACTTTATCATTCTCCGTGCCGGTCAACTTTGGTAAAGTTTTAAGGGACGGAGGTAGTATATTTAGATTACTATTTGAACAGAGTTTTTTTCATTTTTGTATTGGATCTACAACCTCTTACGATTAAACCTACTTAAAAATCATTCAATTAGATTTCATTTTATTTAGGGATAAGGGTCAGATGGGGGCTCGGACTTACAAAAAAATGTCAAATAAGGTCTTACATATAAGATGATCTGTCCGGCCAATGCCATTTGGGCGGTTCCCGATGCAAGTTTTTGATGAAGTTTTTTGAGAATCTTATTCATTAAGTCTAGTCTAGTCATACCAAATTTGAACTAAAAATTCAATCTAGAAGGCATTCAAATAAATTCTTGAAGATAACTGCGCAGTTATTTTCAAGAATTCATTTGAATGCCTTCCAGATTGAATTTTTAGTTCAAATTTCATATGAGTAAACTAGACTTAATGAATAAGATGCTCAAAACATTTCATCGAAAAATTTGACCGGGAACCACCCCAAATGGCGTCGGACGTACAGAGCATCCTATATATGACCTTATTTGACAATTTTTTGTAAGTCCGAGGCCCTATCTGACCCTTATCCCTATTATTTATTATAAAGATATTTCATTTTTTTTGTTTAATTTTTAATTACTTCAGACGTAGGTTGTAATAGATTTATTGTGTTAAGAGAAAATATTTAAAGTGTCACGCCCCAGACCGCATCTGAGCGCGTGTACAACCGCCGTGTGATTAAGTGACGTCACTCGCAAGTCAACCTCACATAATCACACAAGGCGTTCATGAACATCGTTCACACCATACTCAGTAGTAAACATGCATAACAACATCACATCATAGATTGAATGAATAGCGGAAAATATTCAACAGTCAATCATAAGCCACATATGGCAAAACGTAGGCTCGCAGGCCAAAACAATTTAATATTACAAAAGTATCCGTGAGCATAGTTTATGATGTAAAATAATAAAGGAAGCACGAACCACGTCTTCCTCTAGATTCTTTCCACCTGTGCAAAGTTGTAGACAACAGGCCCTAGCTTCAACCTGAAATGGTGGGCCCCCCCGAAGGGGTCAGTACAAGTACCGAGCGAGTAGCAAGCTAAATGTAGAGTAACTAACGTTTCAAGTTTAAGACCCAAACATAGGGTGATACATATAGTTATACTTCTTTACCCCAAGTTACAAAATACATATCGGTGCTTATATACACTTGGAAATACCCGACTCGTAGGTCATTGTTTAATTGGGAAAGTAGTAGTAGTCAATGTCCTTGATTTAAAACCTCCAACCCACCCATAGACCTATGAGTGTATAGGACTCCTCCTGTCCAAACAAATAATCATAAGGACATCGCCCGGTCCTGAATTACTAAACAGTAATCTATGAGTTTTGAGGATACACGCCCGATCCTTGGGTACTCCACCCTATATAACCGAGTTTTGAGGATACCGCCCGATCCTTGGGTACTCCACCCTATACAACCGAGTTTTGAGGATACCACCCTATCCTTGGGTACTCCACCCTATATAACCGAGTTTTGAGGATACCGTCCGATCCTTGGGTACTCCACCCGTCCTATGATCTACCACATATCATACTAGATAGGGCCTATATCATAATCAATAAACAAGACTAGACCAAGTCTTAAGGCCTAAGCAAAATTATCCATGCAATTCATGCATTAAAAATATTAAATAGGTAAAGTAAGGCCAAACCGGCGCCGGTCAACTCTCGGTTGACCCGCCGTTCAAATCCAATGTGTGTCAAACTTAGTCACAACATGTACTAAGTTATAAATAACCATTTTATGCACATTTCATCTCTAAACATATCACATACTCCCTCTGTCCCATTGGACTTTGCCAACTTTCCCTTTTTGGTTGTCCCAAAAAACTTTACCACTTTCTTATTAAAGCAACTAATATGTGGCTCTACACATCTCTCTCTCCTTTGCACAAATCTCAACCACAGAATTTTTACTGTTCTTATTTCTCACCTACTTTGCACTTGGTAAAGTCCACCGGGACGGAGGTAGTATGTTTTTATAGGCATTTCACTTCATAAATCATGCATATTTCAATAGTTCACTCCATACAAGCCTAATCACTTTAATTGACTAATCACATGTTTAATTCATTTAAACATTATTATGAACACACATAACATTTACTTAGGAAATCTCATGCTTAACCCAAAAGTTACAAGACATTAAGCCATCCACTCACCTCAAATGAGCTTTAAAAAGATTTTACACTTCTTAGTCGAACTCCGGCGAAACTCCGACGAACTCCGGCGAAACTCCGACGAACTCCGACGAAACTCCGGCGAACTCTAGAAACACTTTAGTCAAGCTCCTAATATGGTTTTATCATCACAAAACTCATATAAATACAAATAACCTCCAAAAGGTTATTTTCTGGCGAACCGGTCATATTGGCTTCTAAGTCCGTTTTTGGACTTAGAACTACCTTCCAACCCCTCATTCTACACCTCTAAACATGTAGAACAAATTCTAGGGGTCTTCCATATGATATATAATTCATATGATAAGTAAAAAGTAAGGGAAAAGTTATTATAAGGTGAATACCTTAATTATCCAAGTTTTCCTCACTTTTTCCTTCTTAATCCCCCTTCTTTTGAACCACCCTTGCTTGAGCTTGTTCTTGGCTATGGAGGATGATAGATGGAGGGTTCTTGCTGCTGATTGGGGTGGGTTGGCCGAACTGATCAAGGGAAGAGGGTGGAAGTGTCCTTTTTGTCTCAATAGCATGTGTGGTGTGGGTGGAAAGGCCCACCCCTATTTTATTTAGATGCTCTTCAACTCAACCACTCCTCTCCCATAATGCAGCCCCTCTTTGTCAACCTTGAGCACAAAAAAACGTGGGGTGGCCCCCACTCATGTGGGAGGTCATCCCAACTTGTCCCGAAATGTACATTCAGCCCCAAAAGTTGTATTTCTCGGACTGTTTTAATTATACTTTATTTTATCGGGTCAAATAAAATATACTGTGTGATTTCAATCACTATGGACCCTTAGAATAATTATTAATCCCCCATCTTTAATTTAGAAGTCTCCGAAATTCATTTCGGGCTGATATCCGATAAATTATCAATACCGATAATTGGGCTTCGTTTGACCAACGGGTCAACCCTATGCCCTTACTATGGCCCAACTAAAATATGTACCATCATATAAATATTATCTAGACCAAGATGAATATAATATGTGGTCTGGGGGTTATCGGGTGGTCCCCGCTCCCGAGTGGGCCCCGCGTGCGATTCACTATTCACGCAAAGTAATCAACAAAATTTACAACCTCGTAAATTCATAAATCATTATTCAAGGTTTATTACATGTTTTACTAAAAAGTAAATATACTTGGAGACGGTGTTACATAAAGGGCATTGAGGAATCCACCATATCTGTAATATAAGATATCTTTTAACCAAATAAGTTCATGTCACATTCCCTTAACATTAACCAAACACAAATGGGAATAAAGTGAATACATTCCTATCAATCTAACATACCCAGCAATATGAGATTCTCATGGTAATCTCACATTCCTTGAACCAAACGCACCCTGAGAGTAATTGATTTCCACACTTAGGTCTTAACATAAACAGTAAACTCTATACTCTATAATATCACTTACAGGGTTAAGAATTTCAACAAAACATTCAAATATCAAATTGAACTTTATAAAAAAGAATATTACAGAAATAAGACAACTAAAACAAACTAATAAGCTTAAAATTATCAAAACTTGAAAATAACAACAACAATACATCTACAACATCAAAGTCTTAATCCCAAAAGATTTGGGATCATTTCACATAAATCGACATATGAAATCAAAGTTAAGAAGCGAAAAATTTAAAGAGGCGCATATGACTTTTTGAAGTCTTGTGGCATTATCATCACCGCCACCCATTTTTAGTGGGTCCCTCACTAAAAAATGGGTAGTCATGATGGTGCCTGGAGGCAGATCTAGGAGGTCAATCTAGGGATCGACCTACCCCAAATTTAAAAAATGTCTTAATTTTTATTTTAAAAATAATTTTTCAAAAAAATTTCAAAACTATTCTTTGTCCCGACCGGCCTAGTGTGCGGGCTCCGTCCCTGATGATGTCATAAAACCCCATATGACTTTATAAGAAGTCATATGGGTCTCCATAAAACTTTGTTAAAAAGGGATAAAAAGATATCAACCTTCAACGTGTATGATTTAGGCGATAAAGTTTTCAAAGACAATTGAAATTTGGAGTGTATTTAAGTCACCCCTTAGAGTGTATATGGGTGCTTTCACTTATTTATTTACAAAATATTAGTAGAGTGTCAGACTTCGAAACAATATCACATTCAAAAGATGAGTGCAACTGAGATGCGTATGTTGTGTTGGATTTGTGGACATACTTGAAGAGTCTGCTTAACAAATGAGAGGATCAGGCAAAGAATGAGAGTAGCACACGATTAAGATAAGATGTGAGAGTCTTAATTGCGGTGTTTTGTTCAAAAGTGAGTGATATACATGTTAGATGAACTGAGGGGTGAGGAGAAGATGTATGGATGAGAGGGAGAAATATAAAAAATTTGTTATAAACTTATCCTTAGGTTGGAAAGTATCAAATTGCTTCTTTTACTCATTTGAGTGTCAAGTCCGAGATACACACTTCAACAATTAAAGGACTAGTGTGATAGTTTGCGTAAGGTCATGGATGTGCGTAAATGATTAAGCACAAATATATATATATATATATATATATATATATATATATATATATATATATATATATATATAGTGTAAACATATAAAGAAAGGAAGAGATGGTAATTTGAACTATACCTAAAGGCACCTAAAGGCCAAAAGGCACCTCTTTACACGAATATGGTGTAACCCTACTCCAAAACTTAGATGCGTCCCTTTAGAATTTCGAAATTCATTATCATTCGGGCTCCTTGAGCTCAAGTAAAAGCACCGCAAAAAACTTTGACAAATAACCATTTGCCAATGAGGAAGGGTTTATATGCTCTCCTTAATCTAAGAATTTGAGTGAGCTGCCCGTCATTTGGTCCGGCGCTAGTCTTGTTGAATTACGGGTGAGCTGCCCGTCATTTGGTCCGGCGCTTCTTTGGCCGAGATTTTCTTACGTTCCTTTTGAACGGATTTGGGTTCTGTTATTTTCTCTTGTATTGCTTCTAGTCTTGACCACACAAATTCATAGGCAATTGCAGTATCTTCACTTGATTTCCTTTATTTGGGTCTTTGGTATACGTAGACACGTAGTTGTTGTGTTTGTGGATTTGGATTGAGTTGCTATGGATTTAATTACAAAGAATGTTAGCATGATATCAATTGCTGACGAGGAGAATAGGGGTTTGGTTCTTGCAGCTGATCCGGTAGAGAATGATGGCGTGACCAAAGAGGGTTCGGATCTAGCGATTGTGGCTAGAGTTGTATCGGATAAACCCATTCGGGCTATTTCTTTCTGTCAAACCAGGGAAATGGTTTGGCGACCAATCAAGGGAGTTTCAATTGATGAGATTGGGGAGTCTAAATTCCTCTTACAGTTTTATCATGAAGGAGAACTGAGTAGAGTTGTTGATGAAGGGCCTTGGTCTTTTGAACAAAATCTGGTGGTCAACAAATGTGTGGGACGTACCGATAGACCTCTTGAGATTCCTCTGGATCATGCGGACTTTTGGGTTCAGGTCCACAATTTACCTTTAAGCTACACGACGGCAAGGGCAACACGCAGAATAGCTAACAACATAGGAATAAATCTACAAGTATTCACAAATGTCTCATCAAGCTCTTGGTGTTTAAATCACACTAGTGTAGAAAACACTTTCTATATGGGTTAAAAACACTTTTTATGTCGATTTCCGTAATGACATAGTAGCCAGCGACATAAAAAGTTAGGCTCTTTTCGTGTCGGGTAGTCGTATCCCTTATAGAATGTTTTTTATAACGGTTACGAATTTAACCGTTATCGAATGTTTTCCGTGTGAGTCCAGTAATACCACATATAAAATACTTTTTATATGGGTTAAAAAGTAATCCATATCAATTCACTATGCCCCTTATGGAATGTATTCCATATTGGTTCATAATAACCCCATATGGAACATCTTTTATAATGCAAACTGATATCCTCATAATTTACACCAATATCAATTTATTGTACCCCAACATGAAAATTTTATAATGCTCATTCACTACTATATCCATAAATAAACAACACCACTCACAAACCATATATCAAATTAAAATATTGTATATTAACCATAGTATAGTTTCAAATTATCGTTGATACCCCAACAAACTATTGCATATGACTTTCAAAAATAGTATCATCATAATCTAATTAAATAAATACTAAATTGATGCGTACTATTTAGAAGTACATAAACACCACATTTTAGAATCGTTTTACATTATGTTTACTTAGCTTTTGTACAATTACGGTGTAATCTTTATCTTCGAAAAATTAAAGAAGAATTAGAACATATTAAGATATTTTGACATGTAAGCAAAAACATGATGAAAAGAAGAGGAAGGAGCTTGGGAGCATAAGGAAGGAGCATTGGAGACAAGAGGAAGCTTCATGGAGGACAAAGATGTGTGAAAAATCGGATATGATTCGACCCGGAGATCATAAGAGATCAAATAAAACAAGTGAACATGGGGAAATCAGATTATGTCTTAGACCCAACCACCTCACTTCTCCTATAAAAACACCTCTTTCCTTCCTATTTTAGATAGCAATTTAATCCCCTCTTTCATATACACTTTTTTTCTTGTAATTTAGGTAGTCTTTCCATCTTAGTTTTGCTACTTTGAAGCTTAATGAATTGTAAGTTGTGAGTTATTTTCTTTAATCTTCTTCCTTGAATATTAATTTTTCCCTTAATACTATCTCTATATTAATGTTGGAGAGTGTTACTAAGATGACAATTAGTTAACATCTCGACATTAGTTAGAGTTGTATTTATTTTCTTCCTCTATATTAATGTTGGGGAGTGTTACTAAAATGACAATTAGTTAACATCTTGACATTAGTTATAGTAGGATTTATATCTTCTTTAATATTTTTCCTTGAATATTAATTAATTTTTATTCATATTTCATTTTAATATTTTGAGCATTACTTAAAGGATCAAGTAGTTTTGTCTCATATATTAATTATTACTAGAATCGATCGACGAATACGCTTGTTAATCGTTCGATCTTTTCACGGTAGTAAACTTGGATTATTAATGCATGTGTCTCATGGTTAATAATCTAAGGGCAATTAATTATATTGATTAAACCAATAAACCGCTTGTGTTGAGGTTATCAATTTCAATCGTTTTCATCTTGAATTTTTTGCTACTATCGAGTAAATATACGGCGCGTGTTCTATATTAATTCGGTAGTAAGTTTTATTAATGAACGTGTCTCGTTATTAATAACTACCCTCGATGAACTGGATATACTCCTCGATTGAGTATTCGAGAGGAAGATAATTAAAGATATAACCGGGATTGACGAACATTTCATTAAGTGGATAAAAGCAAAACCAAGACTAATTACCTTTGATATTTTATTTCACTCATTTAAGTATTTTATTTGCTTTCTCAATTATCAAAATATCCAATTCTCCTTCCGTTTACTTTTATTTATTACGCTTACACATACGCGAAAAGCTTCTTTCCTTGTGGATACGAACTCTACTTCACATATACTACATATTAGTGCTAGTATTGAATATTATTTTGACGCACCGTGAAAAACACTGCACAATCTTCTCGAATCTCATTGATATCTTCTTCTTTAAATGGAT